TTGTAATCCCCAATCTCCGGAGTGGTTAATCCAGATGTGTGCATGGTTAAAACCTCTGCTGGCCAATTGAAATCTGACTTTCTTACCTACTCATTTATAATCATTGAGCTGAACAATGACACTGTTGAAACTATTACTGGTTAGGATGTATCCTAACCTTGCAGGACAACACAAAATTTTGATTGTTTTGCCCTAAATTTGACCATCCTTCTCATAACTTATCAAAAAGAGTTGTGTACTACAAGTAATGAGTTAAAACGAGTTGTTGAATATAAATAAACCATCTTTTCCTAACAAGAAGAGTTAATTAATTAACAAGATTATTATTAATTAACAAGAGACTTGCCCAGAGAGCCCAACAGGGTCTGTTACTTTCTATCATACACTTACTTGTTTGGTATCTTCCAGAGCACCTGGAAACACAGATTCCAGCCAATCCCTTAACAACTGAGGTGGGATATGCCTGCAGGTGTGCAGTGGAGGAACCTCTACCTGCACAGGTGTTGTAGTAGCTTCCTCTGGTAAGATGCTTCAAGGCACACAAGTGCTTCCTAAATTACCATGAAGATGTGGAGAGCCACGTGGGAACTGCTGAGGCAGCTCACATCTTCCCTAAACGCTGGAAAACAAAAGCAGAACAGAACGGGATGCAAACAGTTTGGGCAGACACCTGTTAGACAGACAGGAGAAGAGCCTGCAGGACCACATTGCAATGCAGTATGAGCAGCAAAGCACAGAACCAGCCCTGAAGAGAGGGCCTGGCTGCAGGCTATTTGGGGGGGCAAGACTGGGGAAAAGTAAGCAGGAGAGAGAGTGCAGAAGGTGTTTAGAAAAGGGGATGCATGCATGAGACTTTCAAGGAAGGGATTCAAACATATAGGAGAGGCTAGAGGTGGCGTGAGAAGATTGGAGGTCCCAAAAAAACACCAAATAATGGAAGCTTACTAATGCAACACATTTTGGGACATGTTGAGCAAGAGGAGATCTTGCCTGGGAGGGATCTCAGCAGAACTCAGCAGGTCTGTGCCAGCTGAAGAAACAAAGCACATCATTGTCAGTTTACATGAAGGGAACCCTTGGCCAATGCTTCCAAAGAAACAAATCAGTCCATGTGGAAAAGCCTGAAGGCAGGGAGGGTAGTGCACTCGTGGGCAGAGAGGCTTCCCTACCCCAGCCTGTAGAGGGAGATTCCCTGTCCCTCAGTCACAGGAGAGGTGGTTCCCCAACTTCATGCACCTGCACTGTCCCAAGACACCAGTCACTGAATGCTTCCACAGCTTAGTGCAATCCCTTGGTAAGCCTTATCTGATCAAATGAAGGGACTGGGTAATGATGCAATCCAGCAAGACAATTCAGGAGAGCAGAAAGATGCCAAGCGTGCCTCTGGGATTCTGCCGACCTGCAGAGCAGGCAGGCTCACCTGCCCTGGTGTAGCAGCACCTGGTAGGGTAGGTCAGGCAGTTCTGGTTCCTGCCGCGAGGCTCAGCCCATCACCCACGGCAGTCATGGAGAAAAGCCTTCCAGCCAAAGCAGAACCCAGGGCAGCACAGAAGCTCACAAGCTGTTTCCCTCTATACAGAATTCATTTTAAGGCTCACAGCTTCTGGTTTTAAGGCTCATGGGCTCTACTCTGGCAAAGCAAGCAGAAATTTCCTCATTTGTCCTGCCATCATGAAGGCAGAGGAAATGAGTATCCAGATCACAGAAGTCACTTCAAAGCGAGGTCACCCAACCATGGCTGGCTTCAGTTCTCTATTTGTCAAAAGTCTTTTCCCACCAAGAGAGATAACAGCTTCATGCAAACTCATTATCCTACTGGAAAAGAGGGCCTCTCCACCCATCAGTCCTCCTCTTTATCCCTGTATTTTCACAAGTCAATAACTTACAGCACTGTCTTTTCCACAGACTTTGGCATATTTCTGGACATTAACCCACAAGCCATTTGAGGCACAAAAGCATCCCCACCTGCCCATTTTCTGTGTTGTTCCTATAAATTGGTAATACACAGCCCTATAGATCTCAGGTGACCAGAGAAACAAAGGGCTAAAAAAGCTGGACACTTCCAGCTGAGACTGCTCCAGCCCAAGTAGTGGAAGCTAAAGAACAGGACAAAGGAGGAGAGCTCTCAAAGGTTTTAATCTGTTTATTCTGACTGGCAGAGGACAGCCAGTTCAGGGGCTCCACCTTCCTTTTCAAGAAAGAACAGAGTAATTAGCTTTCCACAGGGCTGCTTGTGTTAAAAGGAAAAAAGAAAAAAAGGAAGTCTTATTGGCTGTATGAGTAAGATACAGAGATAAAGACAATCACCAAAGATTTAATTGCTACCATGCCCTCCAGCAAGCTCCCTTGCCATTGCACAACAGAAAGCTAACAGGGCCCTTGCACTAGTCAAGTCTTCCTCTACATTTGCTGCTTCTACTAAATCTGAGAGGGCCACAATTTTCTGCTATAGTATTTTCAGAGGACACAGCAGTCACATATTCACAAAGAGTCCACGCAAGTACAAGAGCAAGACTAGTGACAGTGATTCCCCCTCATCAGCTTAATGCAACCCTGATGGAGAGGGAATTTCCACACTAATGATAAACTGTTCATCAGACAGACCAGGTGGCAGCATTTGAAAGAGGAGGGAAGAGCCTGAGAATACAGAGAATAGATCTTCAAAAAGTCATCCTCTGAACTAGACAGAAGCAGTACAATTGGAGTATAGAAGTCATATCTGGGTGGCAGCTTTGGAAGAACCAAAGGGTCACAAAACACTAGCAGGTTTTTTGCAAGGAAGAGCTCTCTAACAAACTCACCCAAGATGAGAATGCCTGGCAACACCCCAGCCAGATAACCTCACACCTGCCTGTGCTTATGGCGAAGTTCCATCTTAGAGAGAACATAGTAAAAACATCTGTTTCTGACCTTTCTTCCACATATCATTTATAATCATTCCTCGCTATGTTATCCATTTTGGAGAGAACAGCCTTTTTTATTTTTAAAAGTTTGCATTTTTTATCTAAATTCTTTTTGAAATTGGGAAGGCAACTCCAAGATTCCTAGATAATACTGAACAAATTCTCACCAATGGGTGGAGGAACACTCGACTAAGATACATATACATCCCTTGAGTGTATCCAATGGAAAATAGCTCAAAGCTCTCAGGATCTCCAAGAAGCACCTTAAAACCTGCAACTACAGGCATGGAAAGCTGCTTTGGAGTCAGGAGGCTGTTAGGCTGTCTGCTTCATGTTGTTGATTTTGTTTGGAGAAGACTAATCCTTAATGACCAAAGACAGCCTCTGGCAGGCACTAAGGGTAAAGGCTTAACAAGCCTGTGAGCATGCACATGAGCAGCAGTAATAGGAAATCACCCACTTGTGGCAAATCTATCATTCTGAATACATATTGAAGGATAAGAAGTATTACTTCCCTGCTGATGATACACCAAGCACAGAAGCTGTCAAGGATGGATCAGGCTGGGTATTTCCTGTTATAAATTCCCTTAACTGAGCTACAGCTAAGACAGAAGACCAAGTATATGCAATTACACGCATGACTCTGGGTACCTTAATTTCTGTTGCTTTAAATAAAACGGAATGATCCTCCACTTTCTCTCCCAGGCTTGCTCCATGGATCCTTACATTGCTGCTGCAGGAAAGGAGGTACTTTTGTGACTCCAACTCTTATTGTGCAAAAGACTTTCTCCTACATCAAAGCCAATAAAGTTCATGCTTTAGCCTTATTCGTGGGATGGAGCAAATGTTGAAAAGCACACAAAGGAGTCCTTTTTTTTCTGGAAGCCTGCATAACCAAAGCAGTTCACCCTTATCAAGCAGTCCTCCATCTTTATCACACAGATAACCTGCAGAGCAAGTTTTGCTATTTGCTTTCCTTTACACAGAGGCATGTTTGTGAGTGAAAAATTTGAGCAGGATTAACGGGGCGGGGGGGGGGGACTTAAGTCCAAATGGGAATAAATGCCAAAAAACCTACCTTCCTTGAAAAATATCAAAAAGGGAGGAGGAGGAAGTGATAGACAGAAGCAAAGGTGTCTGTGAGATGCAAGAAAAAACTTTTCCCACTTTTTGTATAGGAAGGCCACATTACATTTCCCTTTCCTCAGGAGCCTTTACGAGCACCAAGCCCAAAGGAAGGCAGAAGCCTCTTACAAGAGCTCTATCCCAACTTTTCCTAGAGAGAGGCAACAGACCAGCATGTACATTTCTGCAGTGATGAGCATCCTCCTGAAGAGCAGGCAAAGGTAAAGATTTCTCTTCCCTTTGGCCATGCTAAATTACCCTGTGTTAACCTCTAGGAAACACAGCTTCAGGCTTGTAGGTGCTTCCCTGAAAAAGTCTTGAACAAGCTCCAAAAGCATCCACCCTTCCCTGAGGACCTACAATATCAACATATAAAAACTGCACAGTGCCACTGTCTTCTATTGCACAACCAGGCACGACCTTGGCACAGTCCAACACATCCTACCAGGAGGCATGGCATGACAGATACTCGATTACCATGCCCAGGAAGGCAAACACTGGTGCCCCAGGGGGGCTTTGGAAGCAGAGAGAAAGTGTTATTGTCATCACCCTAAGTTTCTGTATTTGAAAGGTCCTCAGGAAGAGACACAGCACTGTAGGCATGGCTGTATTCATCCTTGGGCCAGAGATCAAGTAACCATTTCCATTTCTCAGGTGCCAGAGGAACAAAACTTCCTTAGTTCTCCCTTTGAAATGTTGTTATTCAAAAGAAGCTTTCCTAGTCAGACCATGAGAAAAAGCCATCTGAAAACTAAGAAAGTATCTTTCACACCTTTTTTTTTTTTTTAAAGTTCAGGAGTTAACTCCAAATCTTGGGATTCTGTCAGAAACTCACATTCCGATTCTCTGTGTTTACAATCGTTCGGGGCCCCTCTCCCCACCCCCCCCCCAAAAAAAAAAATCTACTAAAGTACATAAGGACAACGAGTAAGAATTCAGAATGACTACACGAATTACATCTGGCACCAAAGCTGGATTTTTACACTCTTTACTCTGCAACATTTACAATAATTAATTGCTCACTTGAATGTTTACAGAAGCTCCTTACATGTCATTGCGTGCAAACCACAACTTCACATTTATACATCACCAGAGTGGTTGGTACATGCCTGTGTCTTTCACAGGTCACACAATGAATTCCATTCTTTCTTAGGTATGTTCAAGAGCTTTTAAGTATCCTTGTTATTTTCCTTCTTCTGTGCTTGATTGAACTGTGAATTTTTACTAACTTCAGTCCTGATTTGTAAAGTAAGGCCTTCCAGATTGCCAATTACATCTGAGAATTCCTCCTAAACTGACACTCTTCTCAGCACAAGTTAGTGGTGTTGCTACAAAGTCATGGCATTCAGCTCTCCCACTTTAGTTATCTCTACCTTTCTGGGGGCAGGGGGACAGGTGGGCTGTCAGGTCCTTGAATGAGTTCATGTGTGCCTCATTACTTTTAGAAGATTAGGCTCAGGCTGCTGCCACAGAAATTGGATTGCCCACTTTAGTTGCCAGCTGTGCTTTCTGGCCCTTGCCTTCCCTTGCAGCCCCTGGGCAGGAGGTGCATGGCACTGGGGAACTGACATGGCCAAATCCTTTTCAGATGGGTCAGTTCGATGCAGCTCCTGTACTGGACCCCTGGGTGGTTGCAGGGACTGCTACTATTTTGCAGCTATTGTCACTTATCTTGAAGTTAGTTATCTGTGCTGATAGCCATGTTTAATTTTACTTCTCCCCTCAGAAGGGTTGACCCACTTCTGTTAGCTCTAGAACATTTAAATGAAAGACACTCTATCCCTATTTGTTATTGCCCCAAGTATTCACCTACACAGTATTAAAAATCAAAACCATAAAACATAATTTGATGTATGTATTACAAATATATAAATAATCACCTTCTCATTATGGACTTTGGAAGTGCAGAACTGTTTCAAACTGCAAACATCCCCACTGAACATTTTTTGAGAACACAGCTTTCATTGAAACTTCACCTGAGTTTCAACCATAAAAATATGACAAATTGTGTTAGCCCAATCCTACCTTACGTCATGCTGAGGTTAATCCTCCACTCAGCTCCCTGCTGTGTGAAACTCCAGAGGGTGCAGGGGTGTGCTCCAGAACTGCCCCTCAAAAGCCCTCCTGACTGAACAAACACACTGGCAGCAGTTGTTGTATGAAAGTATGCAGCCAAGCACATACCAGTGCTGGTCTTTTCTGAACATTTATTCAGAGAGAGACAGGTCTCACTTCATTCTTTTCCCCTCATGTTTCATTAGATCAGAGATTTTGTTTTAAGCTGGCTGTAAATTCTGTTTTGCCCAAATACATCTCCAGACACTCCCTATTCCACTTCAGTTATAAAAACACCCTCTGACCCAGCCCCTCTGGAGTAGCCACAATAAAGAAACATTTCCTGCCCCTCCAACCTGTTGAGATATTTTTAGCTGAAACTGAATGCACATACCTGTGGCAGGTGAGGCACCAGTAAGTATGTGGGTGTGGTGAGACCTTTGCTTTTCTAATGTCAAGTGCTTCTACAGTTTGTCATTCCAAATCAAGGGAGGTGGCCAGCTGTCTAGTCACTCCTCTCAATGAGGCTCTGTACTCTTTCACAAGGAGCAGCTCTATTTCTCTCCACCAATATTCCTGCTACTGCAAGAGAGGGATAACCTTTGACTCCACCAAGGGACAAGACATCCCCTCTGCTGCTGCAGGCTTCCAAATAGGAAGAACATAGGGAGATGCTACAGACTCCATCAACCTGAAAGGAATTCTGAAAGGAATGACTCTGCCCTACCTCCTCCAGCTGTCAGAGTGCCCTGCCCTACCTCCTCCAGCAGTCAAAGTGCCCTTCACATCACTTTACAAGATTGCTTCACACTGACTGCATCTCATCCATTACATAGCTGGCAATAACACTCCAGAGGTTTTCCAGGGATCCAGGACCCTCCGAGAGATTTAAGCTTCCTTTGCTGATACTGGAACCAACCCTATCCTGCCTGCAAAAAATTTAGTTCAAGCACCCAGCAGGACAGTTGGGAGTGTTTCCTTGCTCCACGGGGAACAAGCACTTGCATCTCCACCCATATTATCACTCATTTTGTTCTCTCTCTCTGGTGCATTCTACGGCTCTTATCTGTGTGGTTTGCTACCAAAGTGCCCTGTAAAATGTTCTCATTTATGTCCTTTCACCCCTGCCCCTCTGTGCTAGTGTTACAAGGCTTGCAAGGGTCTTCAGGGGTGCAGAGAGAGACGAGAATCTTGATCTCATGATCAGAAGGCTGATTTATTAATTTATGATATATTAAGACTATACTAGATTAAGACTATACTAATAGGAATAGAGAGAGAAGTTCAGAAGCTGCTAAGCTAAGAATAGGAATGAATAAACAAGGGAGCTCTCTCTGATTCTGTCCCAGAGAGAGCTCACTCTCTGATTGGCCCTTAACTGTAAACATGAAACATGGGCCAATCACAGGTGCACCTGTTGCATTCCACAGCAGCAGATAACCATTGCTTACATTCTCTTTCTGGGGCCTCAGCTTCCCAGAAGAGGGAAAATCCTAAAGAAAGGATTTTTCACAAAAGATGTCTGTGACATTTCACCTTTCCAAATTCTATAAATTAAACGGAAAATGCTGATGTGGAATGAACAGGAAATTTCTTCACCTGTAGAACATACAATTCTATCAAATCACTAAAACACTCTTACAATATAAGAAAATGCAAAAAACAACGCAAAGAAAATTCAAGTCAAAGCAGCTGAGTTTCAGGAACAGTCCATGGGCTGAGGATCTTCCTCCTGAACATATCTGAAAGTCCTTTTTGGTCCTGAATCAGGCTTGCTGCAGAAAAAGTCCATCAATAGTTATCAAAAACCATTCCATTTTGAACAACTTCTGGAATGTTCTTTTCTGGCCCTTCAATGCTTCAGAGCTGCTGCCAGCTATTTCAATCTTCTTTATTTAATTAATTTTTTGTTTGTTTGTTTGTGATTGAAAAGAGCAGCAGCAGCAGAGCAGTGCCAGAGAAAGAAAGACCGTGGGGGCCCTGGCCCATGAACGGATCAGAAACCCCAAAGCTGGCCCACAAAAGGCGGGCCAGGACCGGTAGGGGAAACCACAACCCCCAGAGCCATCAGAAAGCCAGGCAGTGGCCCTGGCCCAGGGATTTCCTGAGCCCAACAGCCCAGGCCAAACCCACGAGGCAGGCTCTGCATTCCCACAGGCCTGCACCCTGCTGTCAGTACAATGGCAGCACGGGTGGTGAGACGCTTCCTTTCCCCGAAACCACTGAGGCATGCCAGCAGCAGGGAAATAGAAGCAGCCCCAAAAATCCTCATCTTGGATCTAGGAATGTTTGTTCCCCGCAGCAAGCAAGCCACGATCGCTTCCCGCTGTGCCCCCTGCCTCTGCAATGCAAATGCATCAGGTGTGTCTCCCACCTGCCTCACGGCACCACCCCCACCGGGCTGGGGACCAAAGGCAGAACTTTCGGCAGAACCCACCTGCCCCTCGCCGCTAGAGCACAACAGGGGCGGCAGAGATGGCAACGTCCATGGGACAGCAACTGACCAAAGACTCCCCAACCCGCCAAGAATGCTGATCTTGAACGCAGGCAGGCGGGCTGCCCCCAGCTGTCGGGCCGTGCCGGCTCCACGGAAGGAGCAGCTGACGCCCTCTTCCCCTGTCCCAGCTCCCCCCGCAGGGGCAGCCCCGGGACAACCCGAAACACTCGGGGGGGGGAAATCACGCTGGGTGTAGGAGCGGCCGCGGGCTGCTCCGAGGGTCCCCGGGTTCAGCGCCGTTTTCAGCACCATCCTGAACAGGGACTGGCTCGGTTTGAGGCGGCGAGGATGCGCAGGCACACGCCACTGCTGCGTCCCTTGGCTCTGAAAGCGGCGGCAGGCACGGCACGGGGTCGGCGCCGTCTTCTGCCGCTGACTCTGGGGTCCGCTGCGGAGGCGCAATCGCAGTCTCTATCGGAGTGCACACGGGCAACGGTGGAGCCGACACAGGCAGCGCCGGAGCCGGGAGAAGCGGCGGCGGAGCATCGCTGTTGCTTAGCAACATTGGCCCAGGCGGGGAAGCCGGCGGAGGCGGGATTGCCCGGGGAGGCGGCGCCGAGTCGCTGCTGTCGCCAAGGGTGTCTCCTAGCAACACATGCGCAGGCGCAGGAAGCGCTGTTTCTGATCTCAGGCGCAGCCTCAGGGACCGGTGCCACCCCCATGTGTGAGCGGGGCAGGGCCCAAGAGGCCGGCTGTGGCGGGGCTGCCCACTCCCATCCCCTCGGAGAGAGAGAAGTGGGGGAGAAGGACAGCTCCATCTGAGCATGTGCCGGAGACGGAGTAAAAAAAACTTCTTCAGCTTGCGGTGGAGTTTCACCCCCCCCACCCCCCCCGCCGGGGAGCAGGGGGGCTGGGAAGCAGCAACTCATCCCCCTCCAAAGGGTCTTCTCCTGCTGAATTTGGCGGAAAAGGAGCCTGTCCCTTGCAGTCAGCAATCCTGGGAAAAACAGCTGCTCGCCGTTTCAAAATAGAAAAGAGTACACAGAAAGAGACTGGGTAGACAGGAGGGAATCCCACACCACAGTCCCAAATGAATTGGAAAATGAATTCCATGCACTCCCATACAAAAACATCCAGGGCATATAGCACATCAGTAAAGAACCCAAAAAGCTTTGCCCATCGAAAAAACTCATAGAGATCTGTTTCTGACAGGGAAAGTCCATCCTCCTCACCCCATTTTTGCCAGAGGGCAATAAGTTTCTCCTCTGAAGGAGAAAATTGAACCTCATCCTCTAAAGGGGGCGTTCCCCATATGAACAGCCACAAACTAGGCAGGGCTGCATCATCAGGAATGGAAAAGCCAACAGTACCTTTTGAAAGAGCCCAGCATGCTCTGGCCAGCTCCACGGTTCTGCTGCTCTTTCTGAACATCTTCCCGGAGGTTTTTCAGGTTCACTTTGTGGTCAGCCTTGGCTGTGAACTGTGTCCAAATCAGGATCTTCAGTTCTTCAGCTCCTGCTAAAATCCACTTCTGTGGTCACTTGTAAAGCAACCATCAATGCTGCACATTCGGGGTTTACCCTGGGCGCAGCTCTTGCTCCTCTGGGGTCTTATCAAATTAATTTTTGTCCTTACAACGAGGGGACACCAGTTGTTACAAGGCTTGCAAGGGTCTTCAGGGGTGAAGAGAGAGACGAGAATCTTGATCTCATGATCAGAAGGCTGATTTATTAATTTATGATATATACTACATTAAGACTATACTAACAGGAATAGAGAGAGAAGTTCAGAAGCTGCTAAGCTAAGAATAGCATGGGAATGAATAAACAAGGGAGCTCTCTCTGATTCTGTCCCAGAGAGAGCTCACTCTCTGATTGGCCCTTAATTGTAAACATGGAACATGGGCCAATTACAGGTGCACCTGTTGCATTCCACAGCAGCAGACAACCATTGTTTACACTCTCTTTCTGGGGCCTCAGCTTCCCAGAAGAGGGAAAATCCTAAAGAAAGGATTTTTCACAAAAGATGTCTGCGACATGCTAGGACCCAGGGAAGATAAACACTCATTCTCCTTTACAGAAAAGGCTCTTAGCAGTGAACACACCCAAGATTTGTACACTTAAAATCTGCCACTTACTCAAGACCATTTTAGAGCTATCAGACTTGAAGATGTTTGGGACATTTAAGTAAACTGCTACATCACAAATAAAGAGTGAGAACACTGTCACTGTTTTTACTCCAAAGAGTATCTCAGTACCTCATGAAAAAACAGACCTAGGTCTTCTGGCATTTCTTTGCAGAACGTGCTGCCCCTAACAAAAGTGTAAAAGCATTCTGACTAGCATACATATAGATACTAGATTTATGCCAACAGTGTGAAATAACCACTGTGCTCATTTTGGCTACTGCAATAGTTTCTGCTTTCCATTTAGATCTAAAAAGGACTATTTTGAACGTTGTTTTTCATGTAGCACAAAATCCAGTTTATGAAAACTGGACATTATGTTTTCAGTAAATTTACATATGCAGGAGCTCCTCACTCTGCCTACCAACAGGAACATCCTGTATGAAAATTTTTATTGTCAATGAGAACTAGCAGTAACCTTCTGGTTTTGTATCAAGTACACTTATCTCATTCTTGCAAAAGTCTACTTGTCTGGCATAGAACTCTGCCTAAGAGTAACAAAATTCCCTGCCCAGGGAAACAAAGAGCTTTCCAGGATACCTGTTTTTCTGCACCTCCCAGCTTTGAGTTGCTTTCCCGCGTAAATACCTCCCTCTTGTGTTCACTTGTAAGTACTACGAGAATCGGCCACAAAAACCCCACCCAAAACCCAGACCTATCCTTGATGGCGTCAATCATTAGCAGGTATTGGATGGAATTCCAGGCAGTGAATGTTTCATCTTGCTGAAGCTTGTTCTCTGTGCTGGACTGCTCCTCAGCTGACAAATCTAAGGTATTGATGGCACATCTGAATTGCTAGGATTGACCCAAGAAGAAAACATTCTGGCAGAGCTGATACACAAAGTGAATAGAACAGGTCAGTGACAAGACAAGGAAAACCAGGTAGCTTTAAAATTAGGCAAAATACATTTTGAGTCCTCAATGTAACACATCCGTTCTCCAAAGCAAGGGCATCACAGCTATGCTGTGAAAACTCAGTCACTTCTTTTTAACTTTTTCCTCTTTCTTCTGGCAGATCAGACTCCAGATGCACTCAGAGAGATTGGATAGTGGGACAGGCTGCAGCAGTGCAAAAGGTGTACTCACACTGCACTTCAGAGTGAATGAGCAGGAACTGCCAAATTTCATTTGTAGTTCTGAAAAAAAATCCACTGGAGATGGCTTGGTAGACTGTTTTTGATAGCTCAGATAGCCATAAAGAGAAAAATAAAAAAGTTTGTTCAAATACCAAACTAGGCTTTCCTTTTCTTCTTTTTCCCTCCTGCCACCTTATTCCTGACACCAATAGCCTCTTCTGTGTCATCATCATCATTCCGAGATCGCTTCTTCTCTCCCTGCTCCCGCAGCTCCTGCAATGCAATTGACACATTGACCCAGAGTTTGGTCTGAAGAAATTCAGAATACAACAGAGGGGACAGGGTCAAAATGCCAGCACCCACCATTCGAGCAAATCTCTGGGCCTCAGCCACACGCTCTGTCAGCATCATAACTTCTTCCTCTTGCATGGGGAATGCTGGCAGCTTCTTGCCAATCAGGTGTTCAATGCGCTGGAACAGCTCTACATCATACCTGAGGGAAGACAGGGCACCAGCCTGAATCAGCCCTGCTGAGAGGGCCTCAGCTGTCACCACTCACAGCCTTCAGCCCTTGTCTCCAGCCCACAGATACTGGTAGTTTGTGCTGATGGTCTCTCAAGCAGCTCAGCTGCACCCAAATGATGCCTTTTGGCATGGCTTCTCTGATTTATCCAGCTCATCTCATCTTTGTTCAGAAGTTTTTGGTAAAGATTTTCTTTTTAGACAAATAGTTCAGTGTTTATAAAACACCCTCAAAGTTACTTAACCTACATTATATATTTAAAGAATATATATATTGTATAGTCCAGTTATAAACTGTTCTGCTCAATGAATGCCTGCTTCCAGAATTTTTCTACTTTCCTCCCTCCCCACCCTAGGCTTTGAATTGTCTCCCCTTTAAATAAAACCAATTGGCACTTCAAAATGAAAAGTAGTATTGTATTCTCACTCAGGATAAGGTCAGCTATTTTCTGCTCTGAAACACAGCTGGAAAGAATAAGCCTGTTAAATTTTATCACTTACTGTGTGACAAAGGTGATAGATTTGCCAGATCTCCCAGCTCGAGCTGTTCTCCCAACACGGTGAATGTAATCCTGGAAAGAATTTTCTTGATAAGCAATAATATATGTTCACCAAACACAGAACAGATCTTATGGCAGATCAGCCCATATATTTTCTCTTTAGGAAAGAACATGAGAATGTCAAGAACACACTGATAGCATTAACTGCTCAGGAGGGTGTGCAGCATCAGATTTTGAGAAGAGGCCTAAGTGGAGGCACAAATTCAGTTTTAACACTTGAATTCTTCTCTTTTTAAATGAGAAGACCAAATCCAATTATTCCAGACTGCAGGATAAAAGTTGCAATACATGACCTTTGCCAAGACTTCACTCACTTCCTTGGAAAGCTAATATTCACAGTGACCCCAGGCCTGCATTTTCAGTCTTGGAATCTAGTGCTCTCCATAGTGCATCTTCCAGGGAAACCCTCTGACAAGTAGACTTGAACTTGGTAAGCATGATGAAAGAGAGGATGATTGAGAATAATTTAGAAGAGTCTATTGAGCATCTTTGGTCAATATGGTTCAGGGCTGTTTTCCAGGTTTTATACTACATTATAGAAATTAAATTACTCCCTTCTCCATAGAGGATTTGCAGAGAGAGGACTGTAAGAAAGGATTTGTTCTATGAGTTAGATGAGAGAGAAGAGCACAAAGACCATAATAACACCATTCAAGCTGCCACCCCCACAGTTTTTTTCTTACTTTTGTGCTTTTACAAAAGGAATGTCTTCAAAAGACCTACTATGCTTTCTTCTGTTTGCAAGGCACAGTATCTTTAATCATTGTAAGCAACAATAGCAATTCCTGAAGTGCAGGTTAATGGTGTGCTTTCTGGAACTAAGCTGGGAAACAGTCACATCCCTGAGATAACCCCATACTTTCCATACAGAGAGCTGGTAACTTACTTTCTTTTCCTTTTGCTGTACTTTTGTTATATGAAGGTGAGACATATTAAGGACACCTTTCTTAACCAATCATCATCAGAGAACTTAATTTTTTTTCTTTTTTTTAAACACAGTTTTAAATATGAAGGCAGACCTCGATCACAGACACAGAGATGACTACATGAAACTAGTAATATGTTAAAATTGTTTTCAAAGCCCTTGAATGTAAAAAGGCAAAACATACAGTCTGAGCAGAAATGCAAAGGCACAGAGCATTCCTTACTTCCCCTCTTCACTTACAGGATCACTTCTACAACCCAGGCCATGAGACCATGCAAACAGAGATACCATCTCAATAGCAAAGGCTGAACTACCCCTTTCAATGTACAGAATCATGAATTAGGCTTCCAGCCAGCAGAAGAGAGAAAAGATGTCTCTGTTCCTTTGTCCACCTTCTTTTTCTATCTGCTCCCAGTGACCAGAAGCTCTCAGCTGGCACACAAACAGGTTTACCTTAGAGTGTGTAGGAATATCAAAGTTTATCACCACATCCACATGTGGGATGTCCAGACCTCTGCTTGCAACATCAGTAGCCAGGAGAATAGAACGTGCCTTTGCCTTGAACTTGTTCAGAGAGCCCAAACGTTTATTCTGGAAAAAAGAAAAAAAGAGAATGAGAGAATAACACTCATTCTAGTTTCTAGTTAACATGCTCTTGATAAGATACTGGCACAAAAGAACTAGGGGGGAAACTACTCAAAAATTTCACTTCTCTAATTTCTTTCTTAAATACTACAGAACCAGTGTCAGCATTCACATTAGTTAAATTTCTATGGATTTCTATAAATTTCTAGTCCAGTCCTGTAGCTGTGAAATACTCCTCCTGCAAGGCAGGTATGACTCAGTATGGTGCAGCCATTTTCCAAGCCCCAGGCCCCCTGCCCACTCTGTTGTGAGGGTTCCTGCCCATACCTGACTCATCTGCCCGTGGAGGGGAATGGCAGTGAAGCCCAGGTTGCGGAGCAGCAGAGCAGTCCTCTGAGTATTGTTACATGTACTGCAGAAGATCATGAAAGAGTTACCAGCCAGTTCATTCAAGATATAAACCAGGTAGCTGTCCTGTAAAGAAACAAAGGGAGAATTCAAAAAACCCCAGAGATAATCACATGTGCAACATTAAGTCTAGGACTCAGAAAATGAAAAGATATTGGACGGCTGTGAGAGCAAGAAAAGACAGTAAGAGAGAAGAAACAGAAATGCCATTACCTTGAATTTGGAGGGGATGAAAATATAGTATTGTTGTAGTTTTTCAACTGTCTGATACTTGGAAGAAACAGCACATTTAACAGGATTCTTCAGAGCAGCACGCTGGAGTTTTTGAACCTGGTAAGATAATGAAATTTAGTTGGACAGAGATCTTGTCAGAAAATTGTATTAATACAGGCTAGTCAAAAGGATAGCCTGATGGAAGGAGAACTAAAACAGATTAGTGTGCTCCCACCTTCTTGGTCATGGTGGCAGAAAATAGGAATGTCTTCCTATCTCGAGGAATCACTTTTAATATCTTATCCACCTGTAAAAAAATAAGGAAATGGAAATACCAAATACTACAAGCAAGCAAGACACAAACCTTCCACAAATATAAAGATCATCCACATGAAAAGTAATGCATGTGTAAACATACAGTAGAAACAAATTTTTTTTCTTCTAGAGGGAAGGTGTAGGCTGATATCTTGTTGACAGTTAGGCAGTGTGAACTCCAAAAGTCCAACAACAGTGCAAATATCAGGCAATGTTTCTGCAGGAATGTGTCTGTGATGGTTTTCTACCCTAACTACATTCTAAGTCAGGCACTCCAGAGACACTAGTGGATTTCAGAGTGCCTCCTACTGTCTTGGCAGTGCTCTGCAGAACTCTGCTATGTTCTAATCCCACCACAGATTTGTGTGTAATTATTAGATTTTAGTTACAATTCACTACTAATTTCTACAGGACAGCTCAGTGTTTCCCATGTATGATGCAATTTCAAAGGGACTCATCCAACATTCCAAACTCATCTTTCAGCACATCCCCACCTCGGTCTCAAAATCCATGTTAAGGATCCGGTCAGCCTCATCCATCACCAGGAACTTCAGAGCTCGTAAGTTGAAGCCCTTGGTGTTCTCCAGATGATCAACCAGACGGCCAGGGGTTGCTACCAACAGCACAACAAGAGCAAATTCAGAATGAAAGCAGAGGAAAAGATCCAAACAGGCAAGACAGCTGTCCATTACAGAAATAGGAATCTTTGCCCAGGAAAAGTAAAGATTGCTTTGTGGGAATAACTCTTTCATGGGATATCTTCAGAGAGTGTTTTGAAATAAGACTAATGGAGTCAGACTCTCTGAAGAATGTCCTAAAAAGTGACACAAAAAAACCCCAGTAGACAAGTTGTACAGCAAAAGATGACAGCAGCGTTTCAAATACTTGGGGAGAATGAAAAAACAAGCCAAAAGCACTCCAGGTCTAGCAGGAATGCTTTGGAACTGAGCTTGTAGCAACAAAGTTACTGGTGGATACTTTAGAAACATTAACAAGCCAGTACTTAAAGCTGGGACAAAACACAAATGAAGGATGTACTCTCCTTCCTTCGGTTAGCTGCAGTTTGATAATATTCACACTCCACATCCCCAGCACATCAACTTACCAATTATAACATGTGGTTTCTTGGCTAAGGCCAGGGACTGAGACATCGTGTCAATTCCACCCACAATAACCGCTGCAGGACAAAGAGAGGGGAGTGAATCCCTCAGAGTAGCACCAGCCCTCCCCTGGCACTGCAGTGTTCACTCTGACTGCCCACCACCCACAGCAATTCTGTACAAATGAAAAGTTACTTCTTTTTATGAGAATTTACTTTATTTTAGCATATCTAACCTTCCTAGGTTTCTTAAGCCATGCAATTAATTCCTTCCTTGGCCACAAGTATTTTATTTTCACAGCTGCAGAGCTACAGGCAGAATCTATTCCTTTCAGTTTAACTCAACTGCAAAAATCTAGGAATTCTAAAAATATCCACAAAGCTTTCTTTGAGAGATATCTAAAGAATCAATACAGACAGTCTGAAAGGAAGATTAAACTACATCACACCATAGGAGGGAGCTCTATGCAATTTTACTGGACACAAACCCACTCTTGAGAACACTCTCCTCTACTTCCACCTTTAAATATTTAGAGACAGAATGCAGAAAAGCTGTAGATCACTCCATGAGGAAAGACCACACAGTCTTTTCTTCTCAAATCTGATACCAGATCTCTGTCTTCCAGCAGCATAAGTTTTTCTCACATTTTGTTCAACCCCTCATACAAATCAACTATTTATATCTTTGCAATCTCGAGCTGACAAACTGGCCTTCAGAAAAATGGGTGCAATATATAAAAGCCACTTACTGCTTTGAACACCAATGGAGGACCCAAGAGCTTCAAACTGCTCTGAGATTTGGAAGGCCAGCTCCCTCGTTGGTGTGAGCACAAGAGCAAATAATCGCTGAGGTGTTTCCAGCAGTGCTTGGAGAATTGGCAAAGCAAAGGCTCCTGTTTTCCCAGAGCCAGTTTCTGCCAGTCCAATGACATCTCTGCCTGCAAGAAGGAGCAAAAGGAGCAAGGGGGGGAAAAAAACTGTTATACATCCACAACAGAGAAAGAAGACTTTAAAGCACTGTGCTACAAAACACAAGAACTCCCTAAGGACAGAAAAAAAGGCAGACACATAGAAGGGAAAAAAAAACCAACCACAAAGGGCCAAACCAAAGAATCTCAGAATCTCTCTGAAGCATTTTTTGACTGAGATTTTACTTGTACAACGATTACAGTCTCAATAGTCAATTTTCTAGTTAATTTCTGTTAATATAAAGGGTTTCATACAAACCTTAGGTTCAAAATAAGTTACACTTTATAATGTCTCAAATCTGACATCAGTTTACAATTTAATGACTCCACCTCACTATTCTAGTCCAAATGTTGTCTGTTTAGTGGCTTACAAGGAAACAGACTGTGGTGTTTGAGACTTCAGTCACACAAACTACAGGACAACAGCACTACCAGGCTCACATTTCACAAGGCACAATTGTGCCATTGATTAACAGGGTAATCTAAACCAGTTCCTTCAGTAGGAAGGGTAGGACAGAAAGTGTTACCCCAAATCAATGCAACAGGGTGGAATTCATTAACAGAATCCATTATGACCTCCTAAACTCATGCAGCTGAGAAGAACATGCTGTCAACACACCTTACACTGGAAACTATTTCTCAGTCTTTCCTTTGTGTTTGTGTTTTTTGTTTTTTTTTTCCCAAGAGAATCTTATATGTGCAAAAGAGTCTGACAAAAGTTAAATGCTAGGAGAGAGAAGACACTGAAAGTTTGTTCCCATTCTGTCACTATGTTGTTCCTTTCCTCCTTGAGAGCATTTTGGGGGGTTTTGTTAAAAAAAAAAAATCTAGAGGCAGAAATGTCTGCTGAATTCAGTATTTTTTTTGTAATTCCAGAATGCTTACAGAAAGTCACTGGTTATTACTCACTTCAGAAATCTAATTTCAAAGAGTTGCCTACTCACAGCAAAGCAAATGATACATATTAAGGAATCAGTCAAGGCATCTTCACTTTCAATCACACACACACTCTATAGGTCTCTTTCAGAAGCAGCACAGTCCAAAACTTATTGGAAGCTTCCTGTGTATCCCTGAGTATTTCAGGACCACAATGATCAATGTGGACTAGCAGTTCAAATGATTAATAAAAATTCAATTTAACATGGAGTGTCAGAACTACACAACAGGAATGAACACTCAAGGAACAATGTTTGTACTCATTTGAAAGTTTGTGGCTGCAGGCAGGGTCATAGGATAAACTAGCATTCCAAGCTCCACCTGGGAAGGACACAGAATGAATATGAAAACTGCTTCTAGACACAGATCCTCAGCAATGAAGAAGCTGGGACACACTCATTCCTGATCCTTCTCACTCAGCAAAATTCATTCACACAGAGCTCCTGGAGCAGTCCCCAGCTCAGGATCAAAGAAATACACTGCTCACCTTGGAGAGCCACTGGAATTGCCTCAATTTGGATCTTCGTCGGCACCTTCCATCCCAACTGGTCACAAGCTTCACACAGGACATCTGTGACTCCCTGGACATTAGTGACAAGAGAAAAGGGGAACAAACATCACCAAAAAGACCTAGATTAAATCACAGAGTTAAACACATGCTGCAACACAGCCAATTTGTCTCTAGCACAGACAAACCCCACGAGGTCTCCAAGTGCAACTCTCTGAAAGGGCAGGCTGCTCACAGTGATGCCCACTTCCATCAGTAATTTCATCGGATTTGTTCCAAATCTGTTAGAGATTACTGGCACAGGAAGAATACGGTCGGTTTTACCCTAGTTTACACAATGAACTTCCCTCCCCACATACACACCTACCTCTTCACCATGACCACAGAAAATCAAAAAAACCATATCAAGTTAAGACAACTCGAAGACAGCGGGATGGGAGCAGCAGTGCCAGCCCAGCGGGGCACGGCCGAGTGCCCGCAGCTCACGGGGCCCGGCCCCGCTGCCCGCCACACGTGTCTGCGCCGCGGGCGGGCCCGCGGCTCCCCGGCCTCCTCCGCGGACGCTGCTCCCCGGGACAGCGCAGCCACCACCGGCGGCAGGAGCGGCTCCGGCCCAGCCTCACCAAGTCCTTGAAGCTCCGTGGCTCCTCCGCCACCGGCCCCGGCTCCTCCTCCTGCTCCGGCTCCGCCGCCGAGCCTTCCTCCTCTCTTGCCGCCATCTTGGCCTGTCCCCTCCAGACGCAGCGCAGAGCACTCTGGGAGCTGTAGGCCTCCCCGGGGCACGCCGGGATATGTAGTTCCGCAGGAAGAGCCGAGCCGAGCGGAGCGAGAGGGCTCCCTCAGCTCCGAGCGTTGCCCGGGAAAGCGGAGCTGCGGATCTCCAGCCGCCTCTCCCGGGACAGGGACACCCTGAAAGGGCTGCGGGAAAGGCCTGCCGGCCTGCCCGCCTGGCGTATATCGCAATACTCATCCTAATCCTCTCCACCCCCGTCCTATTTCCACTTCTATCTAATAACCTCAACAACACCCCCAACACAATCACAAACACAGTCAAAGCCTCCTTCTTAATCAGCTTAATCCCCATAACAATCTACATCTACTCCGGGACAGAAAGCCTCACCTCCTTCTGAGAATGAAAATTCATTATAAACTTCAAAATCCCCATCAGCCTAAAAATAGACTTTACTCCCTTACCTTCTTTCCCATTGCAGTGTTTGTATCATGATCTATCCCACAATTTGCAACATGATATATAGCTTCAGACCCCTATATCACGAAATTTTTCCCCTACCTACTATTCTTCCTAATCGCAATACTCATCCTAATCATCGCAAACAACTTATTTGTCCTATTCATTGGCTGAGAAGGAGTTGGAATCATGTCCTTCCTACTAAAAAGCTGATGACATGGAAGCAGAAGCCAACACCACTGCCCTTCAAGCCATGTTTTATAACCAAATCAGAGACATCGGACTTACCCTCTGCATAGCATGACTGGCTTCTGCCATAAACACCTAAGAAATCCAACAACTTCCCACCCCATCCCAAACTCCCACACTGCCCCGAATGTAGCCTCAGGTCTGTGCTCAGCACAGCACAGCTTAGGCAGTGCTTGATGCTGTTCCCAGCTCTTGCCTTCTACAGCAGGCAAAATGAGCTGGCCAGGCACAAAAAGGCAAGAATATGTATAAACTTACATCCATAATGCACCTAGAGAATGTGAAAAATGCCTATTTTATGATTGGCTTTCCACAAATATTAAAATGAATATTATATGTGTTGTGTTAGAAAGTTATGCTGTGTTAATTTTCTTAAGTAGTGTGTTAAATATAGTTTTAGGTTATAGCATAATGTTAAGATAGAAACTATGCTATGTAGGATACTTTTCTTAAGAGAGGACTCGCACCAAGATAGCAGCCACAGGACACCTTAATCTTTCAGAGAAAAAGAATTTATTGCTCTCTTATCGAGTTCTTCCCACTTCACTTAGCCCTGAGGATGCTGTCAGGATTAAGAGGAAGAAGCTGACACTGGCCAGGCAGAATCCTTTGTTTGAATGGAATTTATGCATCATGTTTAAGATATATGAATATGCAACGGGCTATTGCTTTTAAGGGTTAATCCTCTGTTAACGTGGGTCCTTTTTCGGGGTTATTTTGCCCAGAAAGTGGCACCCGGACTGTCCACAACTCTTTGGTTTTTTGTCTCGTATTATCCTAATCCCAATTGTTCAGATTTTTATTACTTTAATTATATTACTATTTTTATAACCATTTTATTACTATTAAACTTTTAAAATTTTAAAAACAAGTGATTGGCATTTTTCACAGAGAACAAATTAAGTGCTTCGGATGTGTTGGTATGAAACATTTTGAAGCACTAGTGATGGGAAGAGAGAAAGGACCTGTCATTGTCCCACATTGTTTTCTGCTTGTCCTAATTGCTAGTGTGAATTTTTGAAGTATGGATTATGAAATTTTTTTCCCTCTGTCTATGGGAAGTCTGTCTGGGCGTGCTCCCAGTGGAAATGCTGATACACTCCAGCATCTGTCCCTGGATTCCAAGCGTGGCATTTCCTCTGCACCCAGAACAATGAGGAAAGTGAGAGGAAATACGAACGAACTCTCTGCGTGACAGGGAAAGAAGAGGAAACCTGAAACAATTCATGGGCAGGAGTCAAAATGAAACTGCTGCATCCCACTGTGCTCAAGAGCAGTGATAAATTAAAAAAAAAAAAAAAAGCAATAAAACAAACCCACCCTGTGTAGATGCTCCTTGTTACCATATGTTTCAAACATTACAGCAGCCTGACCATCAGCTTGCTGCTTATCGTTGGTGCTAAAGGTTAAGCCTGGCCAGCACGTAGACATGAACCCCTGTGAGGGTCACTGGGATGCCTCAGGAAATGGAGTCAGGGATGTGACAGGAAGTCACTGCTTGTGATTTTTTACTGAACTCCTTGCCCACATAATAGGGTGCTGTTTTAGTGGGGAGCAGGGTGGAGCAATTCTGTTCTGGTGAAATTCCAGTTTGTGTAATTCCCTATTGTCAACAGATGTATTTGAATGAAGGTTTTCTCTTGTCCTAAACTGCTGTTGGGAGCATTCATGCATGATAAAATAAATATACAGCTTCTAAGTAGTAATTCTTTTTTTGTGCTTTTCAGCACAGGACACTGCAGATTATACTGGATTTAGAAATTGTCACTCCAGGGCTTTTAAACAAATGTGCTCCTAGCTCTACTGCATGTTATAGTCCTTAGCAGGGGCAGGGTGAGAGCATCCCCAGCAGATGGATTTTAGTGCAGATATAATGTCAGCTATTTCAGAAGGGGTGCATAATGAGATGAGATGGACAATGTGTACAGCACATCACCTCCAGGAGAGCAGAGAGACACTAACACAAAAGTGCTTCATGTTCATTTATTCGAATCAGCAGTGTACTTGTTCATTTCTGGCAAACAGGCATGGGTATCAAAAGCATCTGAGTCCCACTCTGGGGAACCAGAACTTTTATTCTTCCTACAACATATTAAAGCAAATGTTGATATCATGAAAAGAGACAAGAAGGACAGGGATTCAAGCTTTGTGACCCGGAGTGCTGCCCTCCCTAATAATTTGGTCAGTGTTACAGAGTTACAGAGTAGGTTTTTCTGATCATTTGGATTTGTGTCTGCTCGGGGAAGTTTCCCTTATCCACTGGGGCATGCTTGTGGAGGGAATTACCTCTGCATTAACTCTTTGAGTCGCCTCAAGCTAGTTTCAGGGTCTCTTCTTGTACCTCTCTCAGGTACAGACATGATCCCCATCATCACCATACTCGGGCACTTCTCAGAGGTGTGATCCCAGACACATCCTGGTGAGGTAGGGAAGTGCTACTATCCCTCTTTTGAGACAGAGAACTGAGGTACTGATGGCTGAAAATCACAAAGGGCATATTTAGCAGAACAGTCACTTGAAACAGGGCCCCAGCCCTTGCTCCTGCTTTGCAGGGGCTCTGCCACTGAATCATCCTACTCCTCTCTACCCCTCCTGTATATTAGTACCTGCATGTGTTTCACTGATATGAAGCCTTCCGTGGGAAGCATTGCTAGGAGCACGTGTAGCTCTCCAGGAGTGCTGCCTCCCCCCTCACAGATGATCCCCTGTGGGTCTCACAGGCTGCTCGACTGCATGGAGAGTGGCACTTCCACCTCTCAGGTGTGCTCCCACCACGTAGCACCAACCTACCCTTCCCTTCCTGCTGCAGGAGATATAACTGTGTCCTTCCACCAATGCCCTGAGGCAGACTCTGGTCCCAGGGCCACTCTTCTTCTCTCTGTTTTGGCTCCTAAAATCTATTGTCAATGTTTGAACTGTGTTTCACCTATTTTATTACTATCAGCATTCAGGTCATGCTTTCCTTTTCCTACAGGGACTTGCCCTCCCTCACAGCAAAATAACAGGTAACTTGCTCTCACATGCTACAGACTTGCTTTTACTCTAAAAAACAACATCTTTCCTTTGGAACAGAGGCCTCCTTAAAAAAAAAAAAAATTTAATATATATATATATATATCTATATATATATATATATACACACACTCTTAAATACAATATCATAAGCTTAAAATCATTCTATGTAAATAAATAGGATACAAACATCACAGTTCTCAGTCTGGAGAGGTTTCTCCAAAACAGATAAATTCTGGCCCTGCTATTTCATCCATACAGTCTGTCATATCTGGAGCTGCTTCTTTCTACAGCCTTTCCAGATGTACCTTGGTAATGGGATTGTACTCTACTGGAAATTGCAGCTGCTGGCTTTTTTAGGGTACTCCAGCCCTTGTACCACACACAGATTCATAAGCTGTTTACAAACCAGGTTCAGTCAGCATCAAGTATTTAATCTGCCTCCTGACCTATTTCTTTTTGCTGCCTTGGGGAAGCAGAGCAGTGGAGACGGCTGGTGGAAAAGGGGTCTGCAGAAGGTCCACCTCACAGCACCAGCACTGTGAACTGTAAAACAACAGGTAGCAGTGATAATGGTCACAGTAAATAATGCAATGTCTCCAAACCCAGTTTTTATATGGGCCAAACACTGTTTCAGCTGGAGGGTCTCGGGATCTCGGCAGTGGTTTTAGCACCCAAGCTGACTCTCCTCGTGCGTGGGGAAAGCTCTGTTCTGGACTCCAGAAGATCACAGACTTCATCCATTGCCCTGGTGCAGGTCTCGAGGTTGTCAGCCAGCTTCTCGATTTTGGCCTTGAGCACAGCCTGGCTTACTTTGGTGGCCTCCTTTGTGCATTCTGGCACGAGGAAGCTGTGGGAGCCGCAGAGGACCATGAAGCAGACGGAGTTGTAGAGCGAGATGGACGCCCTCTTCTCCGACTGCCGCAGCGCCGGGTCACCCGGGCCCTGCCCCCGGCGAAGGAACTCCAGGCAGCCCAGTATTTCCCTCATCTGTTTCCGACAAGTCACCGCAATTTCCTGCACCTTCCTCACCTCCCGGGAATTGCAGAGCACCAAGGAGAGGTCGGAAGTGATGCTGACCGCGCCGCCGGCCGTGGCTAGGCCCAGGCCCACGGCCGAGGCCAGCAGAGAGGCTCCGAGCGTGGCGGGGCTCAGGGACAGCCCCAGGATGGCCGTGAGTGCCCCGGCGGCCGTCAGGGCGCTCCCGCTGACGTTGGCGATGAGGGAGCTGCGGCGGAGCTGGCTGAGTTTCCGAGCTGCCCGGTGGAG